AGGAGCTGAACAGAAAGTTCTCAAAAGGAGAAGTAAAGATGGCTATGAAACATCTTAAAAGATGTTCAATATCACTAATAATTAGGGAAATGCAAATTAATACAACTTTAATATTTCATCTTACCCCAGTTAGACTGGCTAAGATTAAGAGAACAAATGATACCAAATGTTGGAGAGGATGTGGGGAAAGGGGAACACTCATCTACTGATGGTGGGGCTGGAAAATTGTTCAACCCCTGTGGAAAGTAGTGTGAAGAACTGTTAAGAAACTACAAATGAACCTACCATTTGACCCAGTTATACCATTCCTTAGCATGTACCCAAAGAACTCATCCTATTGCAGAGACACTTGTACATCCATGTTTGTTGCTGCTCTTTTCACAATAGCTAAGATATTGAAGCAACCTAAGTGTCCTTCAATTGACGAGTGGATAATGAAAATGTGGTTGATTTATATGCCAGAGTTTTACTCAGCAGTAAAGAAAGATGAAATCATAAAATTTGCAGGTAAATGGATGGAACTAGAAACTGTTATACTAAGTGAAGTAACACACTCGGAAAAAAAATCGACATATGTTCTCCTTCATATGTGGATCCTAGAACCAAACCCTCATAAGTGAGTATGTATCCAGACTTAACTACAGGAACTAGGATAATGGAAATGAACCAGGCAGATAAATGAAAAGAAAGAACCTGAAAGAGAAGAACAGTGGGAAAAAGGCCTTAATAAGTGAGATATGGATAAAAATTGGGTTAGTTTAAGGGAGGGGTAAGGAATGGTATACAAGGAACCTAGAGGATAAAGGGAAAGAAGGAGCTCAAGAGAGGTAGGACCATAGGAGAAGGGTATTATTAAGGTAGAAAGGGGAAAAATGGGGGCACCTTAATTGGGGAAACCATGATGGAGGGGTGAGACAATGAGAGAGATAAATAATGCCTAGCTAGTTTTAAAAACCAGAGGGAACCATATTACTCCTACCACCTACTGACAAATTATACATAGCGGATCAAGAAATATACATCCAGGTAATGTTTATCTGAGAACAATTGGTCTTTGACAAAGATTTATCTACATGACACACAGTAATTAAAAGTACCAGACTGGTGGAACTAACCTTCTTGGATGTTTAACAGACATACTTTGAGGCCTATAATAATTTGGTCAGAATAATTCTGTCTATAAAGGATAGTTTTTGCTCCTTGCCCTCCTAGGTTGACTAGTTCCAGGGGACTATGAGCACCCCTCAAAATGTCCTGTAATTGTGGTGGGTCACCTGTCCTCTTGATCAAGGAGGCCAAGGAGATCCCTCCAGATGGACTTGAACCAGTGTCTAGTCTATAAAGAGGAGGGTCAACACAGAGGAATCATTTCCTCCATGCTTCCAAGAAAGCCAGGCATGGTTGAACAGGACTTTTAACTTATCTTCACATGGGTGGAACTGGTAAAAGAAAGGAGCCAGGGGCTCCTCCCAAGCACATGTGACCCCTGAGGAACAGATCCTTAAACAACCTTAAGGGTAAAAATAAATTGGTTTATCTGGGCCAACTGTATGACCTTAAACACCCAAAAGGAAAGTATAACCAAAGATTAAAGGGGACAATATAATTTTTAAGAGTCCATATGGATAGCTAAAGGCTGCATAACAAGCAACAATGTCAGATCGGAGCTACCTTCTTTTGAGTTGTTGGCCAGGGTTGCCAAAGGGACTCCCAGATAGTAACCCAGCATAGAACTGGGCAAATGAACAGCAGAGCCCAATCTTATCTAAAGGAATATTGACACCTGATTGCTGCTAGATGAGGAACAGCTGACCTTCCTAAAACAAAGTCCTCTAGATAGGCTAACTAGATTCACCAGATGGACAAACAGTGGGGAATGGCTGGGGGTGCCATTAAGACAGCAGACAGTAGCAGGGATATCAGAGTATAAGGGCTCTGGTGGGGGGAGGGAGGCTATGGGAGGGTGCCATCTGGGAAGTGGGTGTATAGCTGAATAAGATGGTTTGGGATGTTCTGTGTGATATACACACACACACACTCAAAAAAATCAACATATTTTTTAAAATGTATTGTATTTGAGGAGGAAGCAAGGAAAGTTACGTCATGTTAATTAGTAGAGGTGATAAACATTACCATTGAAATCTACCCGATGACTTCATAGACATACACAGGCGCCAAGGATCCAAGTGCAACCGATTATGACTAGTAATAATCAGATACATACAGATTAGAGATGCATGCGCCAACATCTCAGTGTTAGTAGCAAAAACAATGAGTCTGTCTGCAAGGAACAATATATTCTAAAATGAAATGGAGATCTTTTTTAAAGGTTAAAAACTCATTCAATTTTATGTCTTACAGGTCTTATACTGAGTTCAATATTGTATAACTGTATTAATTCAACTGTGAACCTAGAAACTTACAGCCACTCGTGAAAGAGATGTACTCTTGCTCTGGAGTGTGTTACTAAAGATGTTAAAGCTGTAATGTAATGCTCTTCTAATCATGTAGTTATTAAAAAAAAAAAGCAAAAAATTAAAAAAGAAAAAGCCACATAGAAGCCTACCACTATAGAATCTATTTAAAGTATATATAT